TTACATAGAGTGGGCTACAGATACCAGGAGTATGCTACTACTGGAACGGTGTTCAAGTCTGGAATTACTTCTTTCCCGAGATATTATAAGAAAAACTTGCAAAGAAGCATACATAGGTTTTACGCATATCTGCATGTACATATGAGGTATACGTATCTATACATTCATACACACACGAGACCACAACCATGTATCAGAACTACATTTGAAGAGGGTTTTTTTTTTCAGATTTTATTGCTTCAGCTCTGCAAGTCTGAACATACCATCCAATTAGATGGTAAAAACTTCAGCAATAGCTTAAAGATCAACATACATGCTCACAAATAAAGAGGCAACGTTTGATGTTGCATTAAGTTAAAGCTACCCTTTCAAAATCATTATTGCTTTAAGCAAGTGAGAAATACGCTTTGCTAAGACAACAACGCTGACACTATCAAGTCAGAGCTTAGTGTTCAAATATAAATCGGATTATTTTACATTGCCAATCAATGAGTCCATGTCAAGTGGCAGGACAGTATCATGCACTTGGCGAAGAAGTGCTAAACACTAAGGTCTACCTGAAATGGCTTGCAAGAAGTTTCTGGACTAACTCAGAGAGATGGACATAGATGCCTTTTTTTTTTTTTCTTCCTTCTCTCTCCCCTTTTTAAATGACCACACTTGAAAAAACCTGCAGAACTGTTTTCGATTCTCTTTTGCATTTTGAAGATCTCCCTAATCCTACTATATGCAAGTTAGCATCATTTTATAACAGAATTTTACCTGACAATTAACTTCTGATTATTTCTAAAACTAAATGTATCGGGCATCTTATCCCACCAGTGAAAAAAACTTTCAGTTTCCAGGTAGCAAAACTATGAGGTTGCCATTTTCCAAAATAATGACAACTTTGTTCATTACTGAGAAATACCAAACTAGGCATTTTTTGATTATAAAGAGCTAAATATATAGATAGAGTAAGAAAATTCCTTCATCCCCCCCAAAATGGGCAAGAGTGACAGCAATATTCTCCTCTTTCCTACCCCCAAGAAAGAGGGGGAAAAAAAAGGGCTATTTGCTACATTTGAATGTAAGCACAGATTTACTTTGGGCTTCCTAAGGGGTCCTATTGGTTACCAGGATGTAAACAGGTTGCTGGAACCATTTACAATGAACTACATTGTCCTTATGGAAGAAATGGAGCAGACCAGGACCACAAGTTCTCTGAGAACTGGTGCAGAGTTATAGAGACATATAAGGTGGGGCTTCTCCATATAACAGGCCTCATTAACGCATATGTTATTTATATACATGCATAAGGCCTGCAATAGTCAAGGAAGCCACAGGTCTCTGTTTAGACCTCACAGGCCCAAAACACCCCTGTTTTCCCTCCCCTTCTTTTGCCGGGGCTCAATCTTCATCACACTTATTTCCAAGTTTTTTCGAAGTAAGAGAGGCAATGAAAACAAAGCATGACCTCTCATGAGCAAAACTAAACATAATGTTGAAATTTTGGCAGCAATCCATTCCCCACCTAATGAGAGCAACTGAGAAACAGTGCACGCCACCAGGGCTTGGCTTTGCAAGCAGGTCAGCACCAGCTAGTTAGAAAGAAATAACCCCAGCTGCAGATGAGGCATTTAGGGACATGGTTTAGCAGGTATGGGGCTTAGGGGGTTACGGTTGGGCTTGATGATTCTGAAGGTCTTTTCCACCCATAATGATTCTGTGTGGGTGCAGAGGAGCAGCGGGTACACAGAGGCAGCCCGAAGATGTGTGACACCTAAGGGAGGAGAGGGGTCAGGATTATCCCATCCTTTAGCACCACACTAGAGGAAATCTCACAGTGAAGAGGCAGAGCTTTCCCAAACAGATTTGGAAGAGAAACAGCATCATGTGCCAGGACCCTGGAGCAGAAGCCAGGCCAGCACCTGTCAGCTTCCATGTGTGCTTCCAGAAGCCCTTTGAATCACACAGAATCACAGGATGGTTAAGCTTGGAAGGGGTCTCTAGAGATCATGTAGTCCAACCCCCTGCTCCAGCAGGGACACCCAGAGCACGTGGCACAGGGTGGCATCCAGGCAGGTTTGGAAGATCTCCAGAGAAGGAGACTCCACAACCTCTCTGGGCAGCCTGTGCCAGGGCTCTGTCACTCTCACAGGAAAGAAGTTCTTCTTCACATAGAAATAGAACTTCCTGAGTTTCAATTTGTACCCATTACCCCTTGTCCTGTCACTGGCCACCACCAGGAGTTTGGCCCCATCTTCTTTATATTCTCTTGTGTAAGTGGTTAAGATCCCCCCTCTTAATCTTCTCTTCTCCAGACTAAACAGACTCAGCTTGCTTGGTCTTTCCTCTCAAAACAGATGTTTGAATCCCAAATAGATGGTGTTCCTCAAGACCTGCACAGTGACACTTCTTGCAACGTCCACAAGCCGATATGGAAGAGAAAATCCCTCCCAAGAGGCTCTCTGACAAGGTCCCAGGTTCCACACAACAACTGCTCCAAGAGCACGTGCCCATCACCAGCCCAAGTGTGAGGGCCTGCAGGAAGATGCTTCCATTCACCACTCAGAGGTCCGTCCCCAAGTCTAACTTGCACACATTTTGGGAGAAAAAAAAAAAAAAAAAAAAAAAGTTCAAGGGCATTTCAACTAGTGAAGGAAATGCAGCAACTCGCACATAGCCCATATCATGCCTTTTATCTCCCAAGTGCATCTATGCACTGCAGCCAGGCAGCCTCATATCCCTCGTTAAAGAGAGTTTTCATTTAACCAGAGAGCACAGCAACACTTCCCCACCACCCCCGCCAAGAGAGATGTAAAAGGTTTAGAACAGGCTGTGTCCCTCATGAACCCGCAGGTCCGTGGTGCAACTTGCTGATCATTTTTGATCCTGTGCAACTCCAGTTTTACCTGAAAAGATTAATGACGGATCTAAAAAAGCTTTGCAAACTTCCTAAACCAAGTCATTTCTGTTTGTCTGATGGTAAGAAATCAGAACACTCCTTCACCCACTCTCTTCAGAAACCCATTCTTAAACAACACCTGAGATCAGGACAAGGAGTAGAGTTTTGCAGAGCTAAGCTATAAGAAGTTTTACCCCAACTACAACAAAAACAAATTACAGGTTGTAAAGCCAGACAGCATTTTTACTCAGTTTTCTGCCTCCGTACAAAAGCGATCAGTTTTAAAAATCAGTGTTTTCCTTCCACCTATACCTGTTAAGTTAATTATGTTCTTGTCACCAGAACCAGAGATTTAATTGAGATTAGGTCAGATTAGACCAGAAGCAAATCAGAACACTGTGATTATTACAAATAACTAAGGCAAATCAGCATGCAATGAATACACAATTAACACTATGAGTACTTCTGGGACTAATTCCTAAGATCTCTGTCAAAGTGACCTTACTTTATTTACCAGCAGAGGCAGATAAAGTCAGTCATATCTGGGTGGCATTGCAATAACAAGGAGGTATCAGAAAGCAAAACACAGATTATCTGATAAGTATGTCTGGCTTCTGCTTTAAATAACTTGCAAAAAAAGGCAAAAAAAACAAAAGAGATCAGTTGATTATAAGAAAACAAGACAGAATATCCCATTATACAAGCAAAGGCCTCCTGTCCAAACCTGCCATGTTATATTTTAATTCTTTTTTTAAATTCCCAGAGCACCAAAAATAATGACATTTAATAGGTTCTGGTTATGTCATTCTTTTAAGAAAAAGCCTGTCAAATAAATCACAATATTTTCTACTATATGCATATTGAATTATAACATACAATATTCATACTAAATTAGCCCTCTCTCCAAGCAGGACTTTACAAAAGGTGCTATTCGAAAAAATCTCTGCTTAATTCCATTAGAAGCAGAAATGCAAAATAATGTCTCTTGAGTAAAGCTATACATTGCCCTACAATATTTTTCATCTAATCATTCTATTTGTTGAGTAACACTCAAATGCTTATTTTGGATTTTTGATACTCTACATATATTCTTTACCAAAAAAGCTCCAAGCCTTTCACACTGCATCCATCTTCTTTTAGATTCTAAACATGTGAGAATTCAACAGTCACTATTTCACATTCATTTAGTATTATTAAACCTCAGTAGCTCTGTTGGATAGACTTCTAAAGCATCATTTCTGCCATTGCAGAAGGCTTCACAAATCTCATTCCCTCAACATCCCTCTTTTGAAGGCTGGCACTACTGTGACAGAGCCAACAAAACAGATGCCCAGCATCACTCACCTGTTTCACTGCAAAGGGATCCAACTGTTTGAACGGTTGAGAAGGACAACACACATTTGAGGGTCATGAATATCTGAAACTGCAACTACTGTTTATCCACCTGTTTACCCTTTTTATCCATCATTGCCTTATAAAATCATCCCATGGAGGTGACTTCTGCAGTATCTTCTGCAGTATCCAGGACCACATCCTTCCCCAGAGGAGGTGCCTGGATGCAGATGCAAAGGCAACAAGCAAGTACAGATAGCGCCTCCCGTGCTCTCCTAGCCACGACGTCCGCACGCTCAACGACTCTCAGCACGTTACTCCTCTACCAACTTTTTGCTCCAAAGCACACCCGCCGTTTTACCTCTCTGCTGCTCCAAATACAGGTCAGAAATACATGTCCATTATTTCTAAGCTTTCAGCTGAATTATGCACAAATTTCCTTACAGAGGACAAGCCAGCAGGCTGCTCTCCCAAAGCCTGTGGCTTAACACTCAGCTCTTCTCCATATCTCTGTCTGCTTTGGGTTGTTGGCTGA